AGTATTATACAGTGTCCTTCGCCCAGTCAACTGTACCCTGACCTCATCGGGGAGGCAAAGAGTTCCGTCGGCCAAGTCTAACCGGATACCGGCTGGGACCATGAAGTCCATCCCCAAAATTGCATCTTGGCCTACCATAGGGCCTACCCACACCTTAAAGATGTACACCAAGTTCCCATTCAGAGTGACCTTGATGCGAGTGCGTCCCTCCGTGGTGTATACGGCTTCCCCAATACCAATACATTCTTGTCGTTCACTTTCATCAATTTGGCAGCCTACCTTACGAGCAAAGGCGATATCCAGAATGGATATCTCGGCACCAGTATCGAACAACAAATTTGCATGGTCGTTGTTGACCTTTCCAGAGGCTTTCGCTTGCCTGAACCATTTAGTAGGGGCGTGGTATTTCCAGTACCCCCTAGACTCGCCTGGCAATAAGTCCAACTCCATTACTGAACTTTCTCGAACAAAACTATTAGGTTCATTCAAAGAAGCAACATGGACCACAGGGTAATTTCCAATCTTCGATATATTTCCAATCTTAACTGGAATACCCGTCTCCTCCTTGGGCTGTTTCTCCACATATGCAAAGATGCAACAATTAGAACGCTCGGCTCGTACCAGATTCAAACCTGGCGAGCGTCCTAATTTGCCATCTTCTCGAGTTTCTCCGGGAACATCCCTGCGTGCTTGGCTGGGTTGTACCATTGACGGAACAAATTATAGAACTCCTCCATCTGGCACTTCCCAATCTCGTGAATCTCTCCACAACCCCGGCATACAAACAGGCAGCGGTCAGACGGGTGACCTTTCCTTCCACAGCGGTCGCAGGTCAATCTTTTCCAGCAATTCAGATCTCCATGTTTCTTGGACCCGCAATATGCACATCTCGTGTTTGGGGTCGCTGATGATGGGCCGGGTCGCTGGTCTACCGCCTGGCGATGTTGGTCGGCCTCCCTAGTCGGTAGATTCTTTGAGAACCTCACACTTGGATCCCTCCCCGCTTCCTTCTCCATAAGGTAGACTCGTCTAAGATCTCCCTCATTCTCCGAGGAGTCTGGACTGGAATCTTCAGAGCTCGAGTCTTCCAGGGGCGTCCGTACTGCATGTATGGAGCGGCGATTTAGATCTCTCGGCCTCTCGGGTAGTGCCGGTGCCTTCTGACGAAACTTGTTTGATCCAAACAGCATCTTGCCTCGTCTTGCCTTCGTCCGCTGACATGCTGTCAATACTTCCTCCAATTCTTCCACGTCCGCCAGACGCAGCATAGTCAACTTGTCTGCTAGCTCTGGGTCGTCCACCGTCAAAATGTAGTGATCGACGTGATCCTTCTGAATCTTGGGCGACCCATCCTTAATCTTCATCTTCGCCCTGAGTCCAAGCACATTCAGGCGGTACAGATAATCCAGCGGGGTCTCTTCCGACCTTTTCTTCGCATGGTAGTACTGGCGGGCGACCGGTACCCCCGTACCACAGAAACGAATCATGAACTCTTGGATTAAGTCCTTCCAGTTTCCTCGGACTGAGCGACCCAGTTGACGGTACCAATTCTGTGCCGGTCCAGTCAGCAATCCTCCAAAAACGAGACATCGTTCATCATCTGGTGCTTGGTCTCTTATGAATGCTGTCTTGACCGTCGACACCCAGCTGCGCGCTCTGTCTTCGTCTTGGTCTCTTCCATGAAATTCTTTAAGGTCCGAGGTCGCCGATAGTTTGATGCGAGGGACCATATTTGGCATCTGTCCCAGCGCTGCGTTCGCCATCATCGACTGAGGTCCCCTGAAATCCATGTTGTCAGGGTCGAACTCACAGGAACCGACGGATTCCATATCGACGTCGGTCATCGTGTGGCCTCTTGGCATTTGTATGCCTGGATGCTGGTCGTGGTGAGCGGTCGTCCTTTGCGCCTCTGGTCTTCCTCCTGCTACACTCCCGTTAGGGTGTGCCCGCGGTACTTGGCGTTCATTCAAAAATCTTGCCATCGCCGCGTCGAAGAGGGTCTGCAGATCGCCTACCGGGTAGGTAGGTCCTTCCCCCCCAGCATCTTCGTCACGGGGCAGAGCAAATTCCAATTTTTTCTCTTGCTGATTTTCCATTGGCTGAAAATCGGAATGATTTTCATTCTTGCCACGCGTCGCCGTTTCAAGACCACTTGGCTCCTGCTCCGCGCTGCGCGCTCGGGCCTGGAGCAGCGCCGCTCCAGTAGGGCCTAGGGGCATCCTAGTGACCGACCCAGTTGAGGACGATCCTGGGGACCACGGTGCTGCTTCCCTCTGGCCGCTTGGCATCCGGTGTTGAGATGGGTCTTGATTCGCCCCTGGGTGGCCGGCGGCTCCGTACATGTGGGGACCCACCGTGATGTCCTGAAGCGTCATCTGGCTGTCGTTGGACCGCATGTGTGTAGGTGTCACCAGAGGTGGGTGTTCCGTTGCTGGTGTGGTACCCACCAGGATCGACAGACGCTTGTGCATGTGCTCTAACGTTGTTGTGATTCTGTCGAACCCCAGGGATAGCAGGTCGTCCGGGTCGAACCGACCTGCGACCATGTTCGCTTCACGAAGCATGGTGACCAGCGCTGTGATCGCGTCCGTGACGGAGTGCAGCCGTGGCAGGGTCGACACCGGCCCAGTGAGTTGACCCAGCTGCCGGATCTCCAGGATCTTCGCGACGGGGTCGCTCTCCAGGAACGCGTTCAGCTTGCGCTGGTGGTAGGCCCTCGTGACATCAGCGTCTGTCCATGACGCCAGTCCTTCCCTCTCGGGGCCTATCGACTTGGTGTTTCCGGGTGCCTTCATCCGGAACTTCGTCGGCTTGGATTGCGCGATCTTGTTTTGTTGTTTTTTTGGGGACCTTAGCCTCTCGGTTTTCACCGTCGGCTGATGGTCCTCTGGATCATGATAGGCGTCATGACCCAAGGTGTCCTCAACGAGGACATAGGGAGGGTATTTAGGTTTTTCTTCAATGAATTCAACCTCGACCATGTTGACCGGGCCCCTCCCAAGGCCCGGTCGGTCCTTCGATCCTTTGTTTGTTTCTTCTTGAGTCACTGGCGATCGGTCTTCCAGTGACTCTTCGGTCTTGTGCTCCTTCTTGACATGAACATCTTTATCGTCTTGGGACTCGCGGTGAAATCCCGCGTCTTCCGAAGATCCGGGCACGCGCACCATTGTGGTGGAGTGGGTTCTCAAAATTGTATGATGAGACCCCAAACCACTCACTGTGCCGGACTGCCGACTGTCGGAGGGGGTACCCCGATGCCGCGTATGAACCTTCTCTCACCTTGTGTACCCGTCGGCTGGCGGGTTGCACTCTTCGGAGGACTTGGTGACGATGTAGATGTCTGCCTTGAGGGAGGTAGACCTGGGGGGGCCTCGAGTGGATATGCTTCACTCGGTGGGCCGGTAGGTGGCCACTCGATCGACCTTGTCGAGAGTGGACTTAGAGCCAAATTCTTCAGGGGCGCTTGTCGTCCCTGGCCTTTTCCTTCTTGTTTCAGGGGTATTAACCACCTGACCTTTACGTTGCTCCCGGACCTTGAGGTGAGGGAGACCGCTTCCGATAGCGGGTCTTGGGGGGTGTTGCTACTCGAACGAGCTCACAGGCCAAATATATCCTGGAGCTCTATTCGCCCTTGAACTTCGCTACACAACTGTCTTCGACGGGGGGCCAAAATATCATCCCTTCCCGGAACAGTGAGTAACTTAGAACAAGTCCTTCTTGGGTGACGGAGTCGTGCCACGTAGATCGCAAATTGAGTAGTATTTAATATAGTCCTATCCTTTTAACTCCTTTACTCTATCCTTGCCTGAAGCTCTGATTCCTTGCGTCGACTGGTCTGATCCTTGTATTAACTGGTCCGGAGTCGCTGAACCCCGAGGGGCCGAGGTCGACCGATGAGGGACCGGGTCGACCAACGAGGGACTGGGTCGACCGATGAGGGACCGGGTCGACCGAACGAGGGACCCAGGTCTACCAATGAGGGACCCAGGTCTACCAATGAGGGACCCAGGTCTACCAATGAGGGACCCAGGTCTACCAATGAGGGACCGGGTCGACCAACGAGGGGCCAGGTCGATCAATGAGCGGCCATGATCAACTCCCTTTGGTACCGGTTAACCGGTACCCTGATACTGATTTTTCTTTGGCGAATCCTGCGGATTGTCCTCCACCAACGGTCGCTCCCCTTTTGAGGCCCCTGTCTCTCTGGTCCCCTGTCCCTGACCCACGGCCTATACTCTGAATCCAACTGGAGTCCGGGACCTCCATATCCCAAAATTAGCACTTCACCACAGTACTATAGTAGACTTTACATCTGTCAACGCTTAAAAAAGTTATAGTAACCTTTTAGCCATGACGTGTGTCTCCGATTAAGTACAGAAGTCGGCATTATTAATGACTTTTGATATATGACACAGGAACTTCACAAAGTATACTTTAGAATCGAGAGGAGAGACGATTCGCGATCGCGCTAGTATTTCGCCAACTCGCATGGTTATTTAAAGGTTGACTTATAAGTGATATCATCAGGAAACTGCATTAGACTGCTTCCTAGCAGACGCGCTTGCATTAATGTCCGGTGAAGCTGTCAAACGTAACGACGACTCAAATGGATATGCGAGCAGAATATTGAAATGCGACCTACACAGTATAAAGGGTAAGCGGAGGATCAGAGGGACTATCGTTTAACATATGACGGAGTGTAATTGGAAATATTCGGCTAAAAATTTGGGAGCCGAGTTTTCGGAACTTTACCATACGTGTTGGAACGGTCGGATCCATTTTTACATTAAGTTACCTATCAAAGTGAATTTTTGGCTGATATGATGGCCTAAATTCGCCAGTAAGAAAGGTATGTCTAACTTTCATCAGAGAGATACAACGATAATGATTAATAGTATTGCTCAATATTATTCACTAAGATAATATTCACATTGGCATTTAATATTTAAAGCCAATGGTATGCAACGATCATCTCATTATAACAAGCATCAACGTTTCAATCATAACGAACGGCGCTGGTAAAACGTCTTATGCATCGCGTTCTGCATCGAAGCGCTTTCTTTTAGCTCGCAATTTAGCAGCTTCAGCACATGGGAGCCCTCCTGAATGTTCTCGATAGTAAATGCCAGTGATTCATTGATGAGGTCCAGCTTGTAGATACTCTCGTCCATCGAGCCGGATGAACTGCCCGCCAATTCCGCACGCAGTGAGTCGTTGAATGTCTCTACCAATACATCAAAGGCTCTCCATTAGTTGCAGCTCACACACATATATTCTAATTTTTCGACTCACTAAGCATCGCCAGCTTGTGTTCCAGCGGCACTGGCAGCTGCTCCTGCTCAGTCGTGGAGCTCTGCGAGCGAAAAACGAAAGACGACGACACTGGCATGGAGTTAGAGATAGACGAGGCTGCACGCGCAGCCGTGACAGCCGCCAGCTCCGTGCCTCGCTCTCTGGCCTCCTGCAGCTTCTTAAAGGCGAACTCCCGCAGTGCCGACGTATCCATTGATTATTATCTATTATCCACTACTGATTAGCTCCAAAATATCACATTTTAGAATTACTACTACTTTTTTTAGTATTAATTAGTATTAAAAAGGACCATGCGGACGCGCATCTGGGAAGACACGGCTGCTATGAGTGTGGTGAGCGTGTTAGGTTTCATTATGAATGACGAGGGCGAGGTCGTGGGCTCGGAGCGTACGCAGGTTCTTTGTAAACTCATGTCATCCATTCACACTCTGTCGCATCGCGCGATTCTAGCGCTGCTAATCGCACAGCTCGGCGACGCCGACGCCCAAGTGTAATAGGCTCTTACTTTATCGTTTTTGAAGCCATTTGAGAGATTGTAAATAAGTTTGAATACATTGTATTACTTCATCTTGTTACGGAGAGTAGGTTTTACGCGGAAGGAGGGTTAAAAGTGCTGAATGCGTGGCTTGTGGACGGTGTCACTCGACGTGAAGCGGGATTATCAAAGGAAAAGAAGCGAATTGAAATGTTTTCTCAAGTGCGGGCGTTGTTACGAGTGAGGGACCGCTCGTAGAAGGAATGCAATACGGATTGAATGGCAACTGACACATTGGTACATTTATGTTGGTGGCTGCTGTTGTGTTTGCAGATTTTAGATGTGAATGTGCAAACAGATGCACAGAGGAAGCAAAACTCGTACATTACAGGAACGTTTGCTATGGTCATTGAGCTGCTGGATAAGGCTGGGCCAGGTAATTTCCCAAAACACTAATATTGCAATGCTTTGAACTGCCGAGATAGTTGACCCAGCTTGGCTAATATGATTTCTTACGGTTGCAGACTATGCGGCTGAATGGAGTCGATTAAATCTTTATCGCCGTCAATTTGAAAGTTGCTGTGGTGTGTCCTCTACTGTCAAGGATGGGCGTGGTGAATCTCGGCGAGCCGCCAATAGCTACTCAAATGGCAATGGCTCTCGCAACGGCAGTTCTTTGGGTGAAAAATCGACACAGCATTCTTCAATGTCTTCATCAATGTCTACTGCGACTGCGACAAGCGCATCAGTATCGCGGAAGTCGAGCATCTCAGGGGTATCTGCTGGGGCCACATTCACTACAACTTCGTCCAGCACGAGCACAGCCAGTCAACGAATCGCGCCTGCCTCTGTTCTGCAGTACCAACCGAAGTCATTTCTGCAAAAAGATGGAGGCTCCAGCCTGGATCAGGATGATCTCGAGGAATATGTGGAAAACGATGAAGGAGAAACGACCCTAGCTGATGAAAATGTGATTACTAATGTAAACCAGACCGCATTAAGTGCATCTTTGGAACAGAAAATCCGGGGGAATGGACACAATATGGAGTATGGGGAGCGTTCGCCATGCCGGAAATGCAAACGCATGGTTTCTAAGCGATGCACACACTGTGAGTTCTGTGCAAAATGCGGACAGAAGGACAAATGTGAGCCGATTAGCGTGAACTCGGCAGCATCATTGTCAAGTGGAAATGACGACGGTAGGACGATAGCAGGAAATGGTGCGGGTGCTAAATCGCTCTCGGTGAAGGACCGCAATGTACAGGTGCTTGGCTCTGTAATGGATGCGGCTATCTATCATGCTTTTCGCCAGGAAGATTTCCATTCTGTATTCAGTCTTGTCCAGAATGGCATGGACGTGAATTTTCAGCGAATTGAGTCGGATCACTCGTCAGCTTTAATGGCAGCTGCGCATCACGGTCGAGATGATGTTGCGAGCAAACTGCTGAGCTTGGGTGCAAACCCGTGCCTTGAAGACCATACAGGAAACAAGGCGTGGAACTTTGCTGAGCGACGTGGCCACACGGAGCTAATGGAGAAACTGAAAAAGTGCTGCCAAGAGTGGGAACAAAAGCACAAGGACGCTGATGCTGCAAAAGAACCCTAGCTATTCTCACTGTGAAGCACAAGAAGAAGGAATCTTTGCAAACTACTACAGTATCAAGTAGTACTTGAATACTTGAAGGAAATATAGCGCAAGTGAATTCTTAGGTTTCTAAAAGTACTACTAAGCTCATGCTTGCAAACGATGTGGATCAGAGTAGAAATGAATGCAGATCATTCTTTACGGTTTATTCACGTATTGTAAGCCGATCGCAAAGAGCTACGAAGACAGTGTTGCCTTTATAAGCCACGTTCTTCAGGTCAAAACTTCCAGTCAGGGTCCACGTCCATGGCCCACACAAACTTTTCCCGTAGCGTCTTGGAGAACACTGCTGAAATCGGGACTTCGTTCTATTTATTTGCACAAAGAGAATAGCATAGTGTATTCACAAAGAGAATAGCACAGTGTTAGCCACGCATTCAGAGCAGCATGCAGTCGGCACAAACAAGACTTACCCTTTTGCACCATGCGACCGTGATGCGCGGGTCCATGTAGTTAAGCTTGGACGTACCCAGCGCAACCTCCTTGTTGTCCGTCTTATCCTGAAGACGGAGAGACAAAGCCTTGATTTTCTTCTTCCAGTTTTCAATCTTCTTAGCAACTTGGTCCGCCGAGGGCGCGCGCTGAAAAAGGTGAGCCTGAGCTTTTTTAGCAAGAGCGTCTTCCTCTTTGCTGTCGGATGCAGTCTTCTCCTTCTTTAACTTGATACTGCTGGACTTGCCCTTTGAAATCAGCGTTTGCATCTGCTTAAGATCTTTCAATTGGTCCTTTAGCTGATCAAGCTGCGCGTTCATCTTGTCCAGCGTAGTGTCAAACGACTTTGGCGCTGTGCGCTGGTGATTACACAGAATGGCGACCTTCCGGTTCGCATCATTGTAGAGCACAACCTTTGGGGCTACTTCCATCTTTCCCTTCGGATCTAGCTCTTGTCCTGACGGTCCAGGAAGCTCTTTCTCCAGCGTGACCGACGCATTGAATGTACGAAACACCTTTGCGCTAAGGCCAGGCATTAGTGAGCCCAAGTGCTTGTTCAGCTCTGTGACCGATAGCTCGTGGAAAACTTCCTCATTTTTACCCTTCTTGACACAGAACTTCTGTAAGTTATGATACACAAGCTTGCCGACGTCACCGTATTGCGCTAGTTCAACGGTATTGTTGTAGGGCATCGAGTCTTTACCGAGGAACGACAGCGTGAGAGCGCAGTTCTCGTCATTAAAGGACATGTGCTCCACCCGAAGACTACAGCAACCGACTGTATCAGCCTCGTCCTCGCCTTTTTCATTTCCCACACGCAGTGCTAGAACATCGATCACCCACATAGCAGTTGAACGCTGTTTGGTGAACATGTCCTTGGCGCGTAAGCCCTTTGTATAGTCCCGTCGAATTTTATCGATACTCTTCTTCAGTCGCCGAGCCTTATCATACTTGGCCAAGTCCGACTTCCCCTTGAAACTTGAGCTAGCTGCAAAGAATACGTACTTAATGCCTCCCATGACGTTTTCGTTCCAATAGGCAAGCCACGAAACGGTATCACGATGAATCACTTGTTTCCAAGCGTGACCCGGCACGTTGCAAATAGGAACCCGATCTGAGATGCCCACATTGACTGTCACGTCTTCTGGCATCACGCGCTCCTTTAGTGTGCCAGTCTTCGGATGTTCGCCACGTCCGCGGAATAGACCGGGTGGCTCGATGCGAAAGTTACCGACCTTTTCCAAGTGACCATCGACAAAAGCAAAGCCATTAGTAAACAGCTCCATCTCGCGCTTTTCCTTATCCGGCAGTTTTTCCTCCTTCGTCATGTTTTTCTTCTCCTCGCGCTGCTTCTCCAGGTATGTAGCAATGAGAGAAAAGTCACACGCGTCAAAGCTCTTAATTTCATGTTGTTTGCCAAGTATTTTCCTGAAGCCTGCAAAGAAATTCTTGTTAAAGATCTTGGCTGTCTTTGGATTGCCTAGTTGCGGGCCATCCTTCGGGATAGCCGCATAAAAGCTAGCGGCTTCCTCTTGAGTGGGAGTCAGCTCAATCTTCTTCCCATTGTACACTAGTGGCACATGGTGAGGTGTATACGGAGGCGGAAACATGACGCCATTGTGTTCTAACGTGCGCCACTGGATACCCTCTGGCAGCTCCTCAGCATTCCACCAACGAAAAGCCTTAATGGCCATATCCAGCCGTTCGCTCTTGGAGTGGACCTTAAGTTTACGAACATTCACTCCCTTTTCTCTCTTCACCTTATCTTTCCCATTGGATACTGAAGTATTGACCTTAATTTTCCTGCTCTTCACAGAGGATGACGACGACGGTAAAGCCTTCCTCTTGACACCCGTTTCTCTCTTTATTGCCACCTTCTTCTTGTCTGCAGTCACTCGATTGCTATTTACCGTCTTCTTGTTAGCTAAAGCCTTTTTCTTTAATTGTACTAGCGGTACATCGTCCAAATCCTCGTCGATCATACGCGATGTCTCCTGTTTTATCACGCACGCCGTGTTGTTCATGGACGAAAGAGACATCCCATTGGATGTAGGCGACTTTTGTTTCTTTGTCCGCAGCATCGAAATCGGTACTAAATCGTCGTCACTGCTGTCCATTGGTGCCACTTTTTGTTACTTAAGAGATCCAGATCAATGTTCAGTCCGATCCCTTGAAATGTAAAGAACAAAAAGACAGTAAAATGAATGAACTGCGAGAGTTTCTAGCGGAAGCGTCAGCCAGATAAAAAATTCCTTTTCGTGATGGAAACGCACCTTTCAGTCACCGCGACGCTTGCTAATAAAGTAAAAACATGGTGCTAAAATGAAAGAAACAAATGAGTATCGTTTTTACAAATTAGGTCATGGTCTCAGCGACTATTATAGGTAAAAAGCGTTTTAACAGTGGTTTAATCTGATGAAACATTTCGAACGGGACTCCAATCATGACAAGCGGCACTTCGGACGCCATGACTCAGCGTATCGCCACGCAAGTGGCAGTGACAGCAGCTGGCGCTGCTCTTGCCTATTATGTGGGATCCCGCACCAAGAATGCAAAACGTTCTGCAGCTCAGCGTCGTGCTAAAGCGGTAGCTGAAGCGATGACGGCAACGCTGCCGTCGGATCTCGAACGCCACAAACTCACGTCGGTCGTAGTGCGCGTTCCTGCTACAACCGCCAATATGGGACCAGGATTTGATACTATCGGTATGGCGCTGGATATCTGGACGGAAATTTCTGCAGAGATCGTGGACGGTGACGCGTCGAACGTGAGTCGCGTGACGCTCACGAACGAGGGCGAGGGCGCTAAAGAGTTGCCTACAGACGAGACCAACCTCGTGATTGTGGGTATCAAGGCCGCCTTTGAAGCTGCGGGCGAAGACCTGCCACGTCACATTAAAGTACACTGCAAGAATCGGATCCCATTTGCCCGTGGATTGGGCAGCAGCTCGGCTGGTATCGTCGGTGGAATCATTGCCGGACTCGCCTTAGCTGGCATGCGCTTGCCGGTGCACGGTCGGGAGGAACTTCTTCAGCTGGTAAGCAGGTGCTAAGTGACCTCCAACTATCGGCGTGCAGCAGCTGACGGTATTTTATTGTTTTGCTTTGATATTGCTCTAGGCTTCTGAAATCGAAGGCCACCCTGACAATGTGGCACCTGCAATCTACGGCGGTCTGCAGCTTGGTATTTTTGCCGATGAGCGCTGGTATTCCTCGCGTGTGCAGATACCGGACGGTCTGCAGTGCGTCGTGTTCATCCCTGACTCAACAGGCCCTACGAGTGTGGCACGCGCCATTTTGCCACCCAACGTGCCTCGCAAGGACGCCGTGTTCAATATTGGTCGTGCTGCTATTTTTGTAAACGCGTTCCGATCGGGCAACCTTGATGAGCTGCGGTTTGCCACGCAGGACATGCTGCACCAACCGCAGCGTGGTGCTGCGCAGTACCCACATCTTGAGCCACTCATTAAGGCCGCCCTAGGAGCTGGCGCGCACGGCTGCTTTCTCAGTGGTGCCGGACCCACCGTCCTGGCCATTACCAGTGGCCGCGCTGGTGACATCTTCACGCAACAGCTGGCTGAGCGCCAAGAGAACAAGGTTGCCAATGCCATGCGTGAGGCTGCCGCTGTCTTGGGCGTCTCTGGGTGTGTGTTCATTACCAACCCAGACCACCGCGGCGCCTATATTGTGCGTGCGGAGCCGCGCTTCTCTGACCGCTCTGTTGCGCGCTACGAAGGTGACGTTGCCGACTTATAGAGCACTGTTACCAGTCAATACGCTCTGGCCTAGAAAGTGGTGAAATGGGACGTGTGGTACGTGCAATATGATGTTAAAGATCGTTGCTTAGCGCACAAGATTCTTCTAAGGTTTATAAATTGGTTAACTACCAGGTATGGTTGGAAGTGTAGATGCAAGGCAATTTAGGAAGCTGCCCTTCGGACATTGAGCGGTCTGAGCGTGTTTGAATTCAGTGACTTTTTGCGGTTGGTAACAATCAAAGCTGTTAGCATGCTGTTAGCATGAACAGCCTCGTTACCACCAGCCATGACGCCCTGTTGTCCGTGCGAGACTGACAAAAGCGAAGCTCCTTGAGGAAAGGCACTGCCCGCTGCGTCAGCCACCGCTTTCAGACCACCCTGCATCACGCGGCCATAGCTTAAGCCAACGCTCAAGAAACACCCTATCACATCGTGGAGGTCTATTGTTGGGATGGATATCCGAACAGCATCACGTAGCCCACGGCGTGCTTTCGAAGCCACGCCTCGTGGTGACAGAGCCATCATATGCAGCCGCTCACCAACGCGCACCTCAGCGCCCAAGTGTAGCGACAGATCCCGCGCTGATGTCTCTGGTTGTAACATCTGATACCGTGAACTGTTCCGCTTGAGGCCACGAGGTACTGCACCACGTCGCTCGCGTGCAATAGGATAGTAAGCAGGGAGCAAATTCGATTCCAGATTATATTTCTCTGGTCGTTGTATCATCTCCGTCAAGATGCCGTCCGTCGCCTCGTTAATAGCTTCCAGTGCAGGTTTGTGATCGAGGGCAATCAAGTCGCGGCCACTTGCCTTTGTCACAACAAAAGACTTTTCTGTTGCGTCGTAGCACGTGAATAACGCGTGAGCAACCTCGACACTGGGACAGCAGATTGCAAAACTCGCGCCGTGCTTCGTCACGCACCCTACGTTACCTCCTTCCGAGCACAACTGAGTAACCCTTCCACCGCTGTTGCATCGGGATGAGCTGCCGCCAACTACTGTGTAGGAGCAATCCACGATCTCATTCACCGCTCGTGTTACTTGTTCTTCTTCTCCATCCCGTTGGTCGTCATCATCACAATCGTCATCTCTACCTCCTAGTACAGTCCATACAAAATCCGGGCTCTCCTCAGGTTCCATTGCAAGCATTCTCATGCCGTCTAGAAGGCATCTCCTTGCTGCATCACGTGGACTTTCAAGATCCAGATCGGCATTCAAGATTGCATACGACCCTTCCGGGTCATAAATTCCCCACAGTCCCACGTTTTGAGCCTCCGTGTTGCTGTGCTGTCGGTGTTGCGAATTACTACTGCTTTTGCTTAAGCCCGTCCCAAGTGAAGAAGTGCACGCATATACGCCACCGCTGGATGTGCCGCCCATAAATAGAGTATCTGGAGCGGACTGGGATAGCGCATCATACACTGCGGCACCACTGTGGTCGTACGAATACGACACTAACATAAAATGAGGCTTCTGATCACCCAATGCACTCATGAGTTTTGCAAACGCTGATGTGGCGGCTGTAAAAGTATCCGGATCGTTGGATACAGTACTTGCAACTTGTACGTCACACTTGTCGACATTATCTACGCGAAGCGCGTTAGAGCGACTTCCACCGAGCTGACTTGCGGTAAAATCGTTAATCACCGACGAAAAACGCAAGGAAGCCCCTGCTGGTGATCGGCTGGATTCTCCATTTAACATAAGGCAACTTCGTGCCTGCAATGAACAGCTCGTGCATAATCGCGCCTGGGTCTCAGCTTGGGCTCCAGGCTGCAAAGTCCATTTTCGGCTGCACTGTCCGCAAACAGCTTCACCGCAGGCTCGACAGTGGTGTTTGGATTTCACTATGGAGAAGGAGCACACACAAATCGCACACTTATTGCTGCGTGCAGGTTTCCACTGCGTTTTCGGCAGCACCGCAATGGGGCGGAAAAGCGTGTTAAACAGTAGCTCGCGGATACCAATGAGCCGCTCCGTGAAGTTTTGGATGATCTTGGCCCCCACAGAGGTTGCAAACTGCTTTTGAAAATCGATTACCATCATACACGTCACTTCGTATGTACCTGAAGCATCAGCCGAGGGTGAAACCAGGTAGACACCTTTGTTGATCACAGCGCGCTTACACTTAGCAACACTGGGAGGAATGGCCACGTCTTCACCTGCAAGTCGAATCGCCAGCTCATCACCTTTGAAAGACTCTACCGACCGAATGTAGCCGTAACCACGTTTCCTTCCGTCAGCCATAGTTTCAATATTTGCGTACTCGACAAAGAAAAAATCCACCGGCTTGACGAATCGTCCAGCGAAGCGACTTGCATGCCACTTGACTTGCAAGTGTGGAAACGATTCACCCAATTCTTCGCCCACACTGGACGTGTCGTCATGACTTCCACTCGTATTCGTAGTCGCCGAAGCACCAGACGGAAATTGCGGTGGCTGTCCGGAGCTTGCCATGGACGATGTGGCGCGTTCCGGTAGCTCCATGCGTTTGATAACTGCGGCATGTAGCAGTCCTGGAAAAACCTGTGACTCAATATCAAAGTAACCTTTCGAGTTGCTAGGTGTCAGATATTCCATAATCGTCCCAAGATGCGCCTTGACTTCACACGACACTCGAAAGTAAAGTTTCGTAGAAGCATCTTCTTCCGACGGAAGCGTTGCTGGTCTGTAGATATGTACGTCCTGTGTACGTTTATTCAATTTCCACGTTACTTTGCCGCACAAATTGGCAACATCGATGGCCTCATGGGCCTTTTCTTCCAGTCTCGAGGCAATGTTAGCCGCATTCTTATGCACAGACGAAGAAGCAGGTGAGTTTGTCGTCTCGTGTCTCTTGTGATTCATAGACGACGATCCCAAGCAGCTGCTGTCGAGCTTTTGTGAGCATGAAGTGTCCATGAGCTCCTCCACATGAAGTCTTCCTTTTTGTCCCCTATCTAGTCTCTTTCCACTGTCGTCGTTCTTTGTATTGTCATTGCTCACGTCTTCGTGCTTGTCTTGATTCGTGCTGTGGTGTGGATCGCTGTCCCGACTGAGTCTCTGCATACGTGGGTAACTGCCTAGTGAGAAGGTCATGTCGAAGGAACTTGGACGCATGGGCTCTACAGTATCGACTCCATCCTGGTCCACGCCATCCAGTCGGAAGCGGTCCATGTTACAGACAGTTGAAAAGTGTCGGAGAGGTTCCGTGTAAGGTGCGTGAGATAAGATAATGTACCGGTTTCTTTCGGCCAAATAAAGTGAAAATGGAAAGTGAAGTCAGTGTGAATCGTCGGTGCAAAACGTTTACTTGATCAAAGTATTCTGTGCACATCACGTTCCGACCCTTAGCAAATTGTCGTCCGATCGCTGCCCATTTTACGTTGCAGCGTGGCACGATCGATATTTCACGGGACCTCAAGACGCCCTCGTATTACGTACGAATCGTAAGACCGCACGTGGTCGTTTCTAGACAGTTCTTGTTGTGATGCTGTTTTTTTGCTATCTGGACCAAAGGCTGCGTCGTTTAGAATGCAGTGGACCATAAAGTTGCTGCGTCCTCTGTCTTTCAGCTGCGACGCGAGCCACTTGCTTTTAGTGCAACATGTAATGAAGTCGATACGTTGTATCTGAGTCAACGATTTCTACGGCTTGTGATGACTAGCGACGTGTCGATCGTACTACGAAAGAAAAAATCCGGCCTTTTCGACGATCGACCATCGTCACGTCGATCGAACAACTTGTATGGCTGCAATAATGCAAGATCGCACGTGTTGACCAGATGGATTTCGCTCGCGTGAGACAAAGACTGTTTGTTTTGTCTGACGGGTGGCATTTTTATTGCATTACTTGAATATTGCCACCGAAAACTGCCGTTCAACCGGCCGGTAAAGCTTATGGCTAGTCGAACTTGGTCGTTCTACGCACGTGGGCGGGTCTAAACATTGGCTGGTAGAAAGTAGCAGAGGGGTGGTACTTGGACGCATGCAAGTCAAGTTCCGGAATGGCAAGTTGTCCAACAATACGGTAAAGTAGTCAGCACTCGTTTCAGTGGCCGAAGAAGCAGCATAAATGGCAGGTGGATTAAAAATGCTTGTCGTTTCATCCGGTGGAGGTCAGGGACACTTTGTTTGCTTATTACTGGAACTCCCTCCCTGTAAGGAGTTATCCCTAAAGGCTGAATATTTTGGTATTCAAAGTAGGTTTATAGTACTGATTGTATATTTGCCGATGTCATCAATTAGTAGGTGAGAGCCCGGCCACAATATAAATCGATATTGTATTAGAACAGTTCATGTTGGACGAGAAGCGATCATGACCACAAGGACCTAAGCTTAACTTCATGCACCAACATCCTCTTATTAAAATTTGAGTTTAACAATGTACAAGAGTGATGACCTTCATCACTTCTGAAAAACTTGTGCCTTATCGTAATTAACTCTTGATTGTAAGGTAGGGGATGACAGGGAAGCGCATGTAGCAGACGAAAGCAGCTTGTACCCCTCCTACTCGCATTGTCTATAAGACTTAATCGAAAGACCTACATTCCCCACTTGTCTATCGAATCAAACACGCCCCACGTGTTTAGTACGGAAATTATATTCTCTGACATTCGCGGTTTGCACCATTACCATTTCGAAGTCTACGTGTTTTGAATCTTAGTACTTGTGACCTACTTTATATCAAACTTATAGCTGGTAGACCTGTCTTTTAGCGTTGTAATGGTGGCAGTAATATGATATGTTCGAACATGGCAAGGTGTCACCGACACCGGCTAAGAACACAATAACTGTTCTTGATAAAGCACAGCGAAATCTGGCAAAACTGTTGGATTTTGGCAGTTTCCGTCCTTGCGTTTAGGCTTTCCACGCTTCTAGCGATGCGCCTTCACGTTGCCAGATATACAAAGTTAAGAATAACGGAATCGATACCTCCTTCTTTTCATCAGTAGAAAGGCAATTGTATATAGTAAAACTCTAGCTCAACAACTGCGTCAGCCCCGCCGAGGATGCTTAGCGAGTACTTTAACACTGATCTAGCGTGAATTCAGCTTTGATGCCCGAGTGCGGCTTCAACGTATCATTGTTATAGGTTGAGTAGGAGTCAAATTGACATTTTTTGCTGGAAATGCTGCAGCTTGAAGTAATTCAGCTTTTATTCCAGATCTCTAAATGGTGACGAGATGATGGCATACTCGACGCTCTTAGTACGCTTCGTACTGCTATATACAGCTCTGTGTAGTCTGGTGGATGCTCAGCTGATCCCCAGACGCCCGCCTGGAGTCACTCTGGGCAACGGCAGTGTGACGCTGGTGTCCAACTCGAGTCCATTTGGTAGAGTACATGTAATCTAGTACGCCGTGAAGCTGACATGTTGTATGGATTTGGTTGCAGTTTCTCGAACAAGGCATCAATCAATTTGAGCCATATTCAAGTGGCTGCAAAGCTCAAATCTCTGGCTCAGAAGACGTTTCTATGGGATCACAAATGTGAAGAAAGACATCGCTTCTTACTAGGATCCTGTTAGTATGTGCATCGTAAGTAGTGGATTGTAAAATACAATTGACAGCCTAAAGGTTATGTTGAAAATCGGGTAGAAGCGTTGTGTCTTGTTGACGTTTGTATGGATGTTACAAAATTGATCAAGATTTTTTGCTACATCAATGGATACTTATTGGATACTTTTCAGATAACGGTTGTCTCGTAAAGACACACGTTTAGTATTAAAGTACTTTGGCATCCAAAGAATTATGTGAGCACACAATAAGTCTGTCTAAGCTAATATTGTCGCAAGTTTTCGTACTTCCTTTACTTCCTGGAATGAAATTTGAGACAAAATATAATAATATCGCTGACTATGCGAACGCACGATATGCACACAAAAACAAGCGCTAGCCAGCACTTGAATGCGATACTTATGATACCCGATAGAGTGAACTCTAGAGACATACGTCCTGCCAGTGATATGCATCTTGTTGCAGAGTGAGCTCAGAGTTCACTCTGCAACAAGATGCATATCAATGGCAGAACGTATTTCTCTCTGACATCACATTAGTCAATTTTAAAGGTATTTGCTATCACTTCAATCGAGCAAATCTCGCTGCAACACCAGGACGGCCATTGAAGCGGTGAGCACGCCCATCCTATGGCCCCAGAACGGCGCAAAAAAAGAACCCGTATGCGACCGCATCACGCGCGACCGCGAAATACACCACGTAAGGCGATGACCTCAGCCCAACTTTGCCAGACGTATGCGTCTGCCAACCCCACCTCAGCAGGGCGCCCCACTTAGTGTGACGAAGCGAAGTGGTATCGGGGATCGATGAATTTGCTGGTGCATGTTTTCTTATCGTTGGTAGTGTGTAAGGCTAGAAATGTCAAAGTACTTGTAAGCGATATAATTAACGAAGAAACCCGAGCTGGACATGTGGAAAGCCTTGCGTTTTTATTGAGATATATGTGCGTGTCGAGCGCGCTGAGCGCGTCCGAGCACTAATTAGCGGAAAATGGTGTGCGTCGGCCATCTCGTCGCTGTCTTCAAGCAAATTGGTCACTAGGATAAGACCGGCTCGTCCCATTGACAATGGCCGTCGTCACAGTCGATCTTAAAGGCGCCTCGGGACGATGCTTGCCACCGTGTTCGCGCATGCAAAGCTCGATATCATCGCGGGTGCCATCATGGCCATTGTCGTGTAGCCGCCCGCACGCCAAGGACAGCATCCTTATGAACCACACGTCGTCGTACAGCTACTGCTGCGCGTGCAACTTTGTCACGTTCTGAGGTCGCAAGGCCATACAATACCAGTATTTTCGGCGATGGCTCTGCTATTTCTTGTCATTGCTATTTGCTTCAGCTAACACAGACCAATAGCACCGCCATGGTCGTTGTTGTACTCGTTCGCGCTGTTCTTCTCCAACTTCAGCATAACGCCACGACATTTCATCATTCCTAGTAAAATCTCTCTAAAGAAGAGTGCGGTCGACAGCATACGGCATCTCCACGTCATTCGGCAAGGAAGGTGCCATGATACCGCACAGCGTCTCGCAAAGGCTCGTTCAGTGTAAGATGCATGCTGTGCATCTTTGCTGCGTACTACTGCTTCAATCGCTGTTTTTGTTCTAAATGTAAGCCAAAAGCCAACTTTGAAGAAGTCGAGCTCATAGGACAAGCCGGTGTTACAAAGGGTCGACGTCGAACCAAGTTCTCAGATACCGGCCGGTCACGTAGAGCGTGGCGAAAAGAGAAAAAGGTTGTTTGGTGAAAAGTATGAGAACGCTCAGTGAGAGCCTCGACAGAGCGACTTCGCTGAAGCGCCATGGGAGTGGCCATCAGTCCGTTGTCGTCAATTGTGGTTTTTTCCAAGAGTGATAGCCAGCTTTCTGATTACTTGAGTGTGGTACACGGCGGATCAAGGAAGAGATTATGCTCAACGATTGAACAGAAACGATTAACGAACTGTTTCGAATACACCGGAGATACCGGCAATAAAGTTGGATGAGATACATGCTCCGTCGTCTTGTTTATCGCTTGATGGTGACGAGTAAACAATCGGTGCACTGAACTTTCTTCTACAAACTCAAAAACACCCAGCAACAAATATGTCGACAAACGTACAACTACGTGAATCGAATATACGACCTTCATATAGGTCCGTTCATCAATTTTCTCATCAGTTTTGTCGACGTTTTTCTTGTTTGTAACGGGAGCCCAAGAGCAAAGAATAAGCAATAACGTACTCAAAATCTTAGCGCAATAGCATAAACTGAAAAGTGTATGGCACGACGTGTTCCCAGAGAATAAAAAGCAATCGAGCAATAGCAACGTTGAGAAACACCTGCAATGTCCTCTTATGTAGATTGAAAGCAAACCTTTTATTAAAGACAACAGCTGAAGTATAGCTGACTTTGACGTACCCCTTTGCATTAGACTTCTCCGTCATATATCTAAAACATGGCTGGGATCAGTGTCTGGAAGCTCGAGTTTTTTCTTTGTCTAAGTTCCGTACGAAATAGTGACCCTAATTGAGGCGCGTGGCGGCATCACATGAAGCGTTTCGGGTCAGCTTTTCAAGCTTACACAGTCGCGGGTTGAGTCAACACACCAGCTTCATTCCCAAGTGCCAATGGAATAGACGATCCTGGCAAGTGCAATTAATTAGACGACTCACAAGCTCCTGTTTGTTGCTTGCTGCTGTTCTCTACGGACTTGCCCGGTATAGCTTTGTACTAAATAAAGAATTGGCGACGACGTAAAGACCCGTCTCACTGTAGCAGCTTGAGGGTAAAGTTGGCCAGATCGTCTTCCGAGTACACGTCTTCGTCTTCTTCAGTACTAGCGCTACTTTCTTGAGGTCCTTCTCTCTTGCTGATACGAGGCTTAGTGGCTGTCAAAAGAAAATAATCTGCAGAGACTGCGCGTTCCTGGCGTTGCTGCAGCTGCTGTGCATGCAAAGCAGTAGGAGTAGGTGCCGCTGACTTGGCAGGCGTCCTTGCATTGACTGGGGACCGTGCAGACGAACTAGCGGATGATCGTGCAGATACGCTAGCTGTGCGGTGAAAACTACCTGAAAGCGTGAGCGTCTCCAGATCCGACAAGAGGACGATACCTGGGGCATTACGCGAGCTGTAATTCGACTCTGCGGACCCGAGCCGCAGTTTGGAAGTTGTAGCTCGCAGGTCAAGCCGTGGATTGTACTCGTGTATGTCTTTGTCCGACTCGTCATCTTCATCATCGTCATCCAGCCCACAGATGCTGTGCTGGCTGCTGATACTTCCCACACTTCGTTGACTACGTTGACTACGTTGACTGCGTTGACTGTGTTGACTGCGTTGACTGCGTTGACTGTGTTGACTGTGTTGACTGCGTTGGCCTCTTGAGCTTGAGATAGATGTGGTCGAGCACAGCTCTAGATCGGGATGCACTCGGTCGATTTCTTCCTGCTCCAAGTCAAATATTGCCCCTCGTGAAGCTGCAAAGCTACGAGAAATCGACGCGGACATGGAAGCCATGGAGTTTGAGAAGTGGCGGCCTCTTAATCTTGTTTGCTCGACGCGGTCCGTATTGAGATCGACGTCTGGGCCAAACTTTGCACACAACAAACACTCACGCTTGTAGCTTCCATACTGCTGCGTTTTAGCCCCCGATTCCATTACACTGCCACGCGGGAAGTCGGGAGAAGTCTTGAGGCAGCATTTTGAGCATGTACCAGACTCACACGAGCGACAAATGTAGCACTTGCGCAACAGCGAGAACTGAGCCGAGCATACTGAGCAGCATCGCGTCTCCGGTCGCCATGCCGAAGACGAACGCACGCCAGCATGAGCGGCATGGTCCTTCCATCGATTGGTCAGTGCTCGACGAGCACCGACCATCAACTCAGTGCAGAACTCACGAAAATCCGACCTAGTTACAAAAGCAATTTGACCAAACGTCTGTGGGACGAACACTGTACAGGTTAAGACCAGCTTGCAAACCAGGGGGTCGTGAGTCTCCGTGACGTCAAACAGCCAATCACGGATGTAGAACCTCGCAGCTCCTTGCACGTAAGCTTTGGCCAGTGGCTGAGACGACACACTGGACGTGCTGCTCAGTGCACGTTCCGACACGGAGCGGCGGTAGACGAATCCACGGAGATGTGAGTGGCCTTTGTTGTTAATCTCGGTGCAGCGAGTGGCGTATTCCGCGTAGCAGCAGTCCAGCACCTGTGCATTGTGTTTAGAGAATTTAGTGGCCATGTACTTACGACTCCAGCGCGGAAATGCTGCGTCGTCTGCGTCCGTCTCCGATGTGACAGACAACGACGAGAGGGACTGTGACTGCAGTCGTGCACCGGACAGCAAGGCCGCGGCCTTAACGTCTCGGAGCGTGTTAAGTGCCACCCAGTAGTTCTCACGTGCCGATTCACTGGCAAAAAAGTCCAACACCGTGTCAACGGTACCAGGGACGCGCGTGACGCCTCGGAACTCAAAGTCACCGGGAAAGCGCGTGCTCTCGGTTAAGTCGCGCCTGATACTGAAATCGCGCCGAGAAGACGACGATAACGACGTTCCCATTGGAGACACGGTGGTGGACGCCATCATCTCTTGGTTCTGTGTATTACGTTTGTACAGACACACATCTTGCGTCTGCTGAAGTGCCACGTAGTGAACGAGTGGGTCTTCGTGTCGAATTCGGGCTATCATTGTATTTGCGTGGTCGCGCACGTATGGGAACATGATGGAATTGAGGGCGCCCTCTTTCTCCCAAAGCGCAGAGTCGGAGGAGCTCATGGCGGGGCTTGTAACACTGCTGCTGGTCGCGGTCGAGGAGCTGCTATGTACGTGCTTATCGACACTGAGCATCATCGCACCAGCCCAAGAATGGCCGAGGAGGCAGGCACTCATTCACGAGGAATTGCAACGAGACGACGCCCCGACTACGTCATGACTACTGTCCTTGTTATGTAACATTGCTGTCCCGTCTGCAATGCATAATGAGACTAGGTGAATATGAAAGCAACGCGTATATTAGCATGTCGTCGCGTCAGTATTTGTTAATAGCGTGGTTCAGCCGTATTGAATTTACATGTTATAACGTCAGTTAATGCCTCACGATGATGAGAGAAGAAAGGTGATTCCAACCTCGTTTTGTATGCAAGCATTATTCGAAATTTGTCGGAGGGAGTGAAGTAATGTCAGAGAGGGTATCCTTGCGTGATGGATCTTATTTACCCATTGGCATGTGCTTCTCTATTCTTGCTAGCTCTAACACATGTTTGGGTGACTACGCTACAACTTGCTATTGTTGCTACCCCGTCTTGGTTGTTTATTGTAGACGTAGTCTGTTATCTATACTCTGTCGTTCTTCATATCAGGCATTTTGTGAATGCGCATCAGCTTTGCAAGCTTTTTCGCAGGCAACTTGCCTAAGGATGCACGATGAGTTTGCTATCGACGCTGCACTTTATGCAGTAGATCTCTTCCCTGTGTATCGTGGCAATAGGCAACGCGCCTCGGTGCAATCCGCAAATCAGCTTAACAGCTGCCTTTTAGACTTGATAGGACATGTGTTTTGCTTCACCAGTGAGGCTACCTTTAAACGATCGGAAATGCTTAGCTCACGCGTGGTCTGCTATGATCACCCTCTGTCTCGATTACAGACTGTCAAGTGAAGGAGAGCAACGCGAATTTGTGCGATGTGCGTGGAAAGGTTCGCAGAAAAATAGATGCTTAGAGCTTGTAAGCTCTCGCTTGATAAGAGCCAAGTGGCGTTAGCTCGGTCCGCCCCTCTAACGCTCCATCAAAAAAGTAGTCGAGTTCACTAGCTCACGATGCTCTTTTGGTACTCTTGCTCGCCGCTTCGTGGCTTGTCGTCACCCGTTGTTGTGGTGTTAAAGCAAGCTTGTCATTGTGTCCGTAAAGCATGCGGACCATCCGAGACGAGTCCGGCGTCGTGTGCTGGAAGATCACAGCAATAGCGGCAGACAGCAACACAAGCTGGCCCCACTTTACAATTTTATCCGGCAACCCGATCGCTGTCACCATCCGAGCGGCCACAGTGCCCGTTGTGTACACCCCCACCGCCTTCATGACGCTACCACGCCGGTGGTGATGCTCAGCGAGAAAGGCCAATGTAGTGAGTGCACCAGCCATCCTGACGATTAAACGATGTCGATCGCTCCTAGACAGACACGAAACACCCAGTGGCACTTGATACAGCATGGTAAGGCAGCAGCAGGTGCGTAGGTAGCGCACCACTAGCGATGCGAGTGCCGGTCGCGGTCCCCAAATCCAGCGCTTGTATTTGGGTCCGAGCACAGACACGGCGTATATGGGCACGTAGAGTCGAATCGCAAATTTCATGCCTTTAACAAAGTAGTCGCTGTGAAACTGCGTACAGGTCTGACCACGGTGGAAAACGTCGCAGCGCGAGACCAGCTTATTTGACGGCATTTCGTCTCGCATGCGACGTAAGACATCCGAAGACAATTGACAAAAACTGTCGAGTGCAGCCAGTTGAGACTTGGCAAAGGCATCGCTCTGATAGATCCATGAATCGATCAATGGTCCCGCCGCCAATGCCCCCAAAGAAATATCTACCAATTAAGTAACACGCTCCCAAACTTATTAGTGTTTTAGCTCAAACTCATAAGAAATGAGCAGGGGTTTAGTACCACGCCCCTACCAATGTACTTGATGTCCGCAAGCATTGTAAACTCCTTTATGAGGATTAACGCCGCCTCAACAGCCGCGTACGAGACCAAAACAGTTTTCCGATCAGCTTCTAGCAGAAGCGATGATACCGCTGCGGCCACTGCCGCTGCTTGAGGTGCATTGGGGAAACGCCGTTCGGTATGGGTCGGAAGCTTACGACCCGTCCCTTCCAATAACCTGAACACACCCACGAAGCTTCCTAAGGAAAGCGCTAGAGAGTTCGGACGCCTCAATTTTCGAGCCATAAAACCTTGCACGGCGGTTAGACCACCGCCTACGATGACGGTGCCGACAGCAGCGTGCTTAATGACATCCATTTTCTTGCACGGGGACTTTTTCGAAAGTCTCAGTTAGTACATTTAGTGAAAACGATTTTGTTAACAACGCAACTCGATTGAGAGTTGCACTAATTAGCTTAAAATAATAAAATTTGACATTTTTGATTGCATAATGGCTTTCAGCATTAAAACATCTGCTTTAGAGAGCAGTAAGACGCTCTCTTACATCAATATCGCGAATGGCGTATGTAGAGACTCGTGGGAGGATACTGCAATTGCATGCTGCACACTCATGACAAAGAAACAATTTGTGGCTATGATGCTGCTTAAAAAACTTTTACATAAAGATTAGGCCAGCAATGTACGAGCTAACATTTTTAGCTTACGGCAAACGCATTTACTCAAACATCATTTCCGTTCAGTTTATATCTAGCCTTTTAAAATGGAGCTGACGACAACCGACACGTGAAAGCGTCTTTTGGTTAGCTATAGAAGGCAAGATCTGAGCCAGCACTGTTAGTTTGTGTTTATACGTCCACACAAATAAACCTCCAGCAACATGCTATCTCAAATGTTTACAGCTGGTCGCATCACTGCAGTTGCACACACCCTTCGCTAAGAATGCATGCTTCGTTTGCATGGCAGCACATGGCACGACCGGATACATACTCGCACGCTCTCGCTCCACCAGCTATACCCTCACAAAATTGGGTAGTAGTAGCCCATTCCCCAGCACGCACGAGATGCATGACATCTCGGTCTGGCTGGACACGAGGAGCTCCGCTCAAGCGAACATCCTTCCACGCTTCGGTCCTAGATTGCATATCCAAAGTAGGCTTGTTAGCCTTTACGAGTGGGTCAACAACCTTAAGCCATTGCTCAAAAGTCCAATCGGCACCAGCATCGAATGGGACACCGTTTAACGTGTACATTGGTGTGCCCGACATGCTTCTAGTGCACGTGTACTTCCATGATTCACGACTATAGACATCTGCGGCAGTGCCCCCATAGCCCGTCATTTGTGAATCCCACTCTGCGTCAGTCAACGATGGAAACGTCTTCTGAGCCAAAGATTTGAGCTTGGCAGCCACTTGAATGGGACTCAAATCTTTTGATGCCTTGTTCGAGAAACTGCAACCAAATTCATACAACATGTCAGCTTCACTATAGCTATCACAACAAATTTGGACACACTTGATCAAGGGGAGTCTTACATATCCTGATTAGCATACATCACTTCGAGCCAATCGGTAAAGCTTTTGTCGCCCAACGCTATGGTGATGGTGTAAGAAGCTTCGGCAGTAGCGAAGGCGTGTTGGTGGTACGGCAATGGGAACAGCACGAAGCGAACACGCACTTCCTCCGATTCATAATGCTGCACTATCTTCTTTAATCCAGGGTACGCCGACTTGCTGTCCGGGCATAACTGTTACAAAATTTAATTAATACAAAGTAAGAAAAGTGAAGGGTACTGTGCGTACATAGAGTACATGTATCTTACCAAATCGATGTAGGACTCAAGTTGGACACCAGCGTCAGCACTACCGTTGCCCAGAGTGAATCCAGGCGGGCGTCTGGGGATCATCTGAGCGTTCACTAGACTACACAGAGCTGTATATAGCAGTACGAAGCGTACGAAGAGCGTCGAGTAAGCCATTATTTCGTCAAATACTATTTCAAGATCTGGAATAAAAGCTCAGTATTCACTCATTCAAAAGCATGCAGTTTTTTGCTAGTCCCTCCCAGGGAGGGGGGGGGGTCGGTGTAAATAAAAGAAAAAAGTCATTAGAATCATTTTTTGTCTTACGAAAGACGTTCTTTTTTTAATTTGGAACAACGGCCAAGCAACAAAAAGTCTCCTAAAAGCCGGTCAACCAAAAAAACCGGCCCATTTACCCTGGGCGGGAAGTCCCCCATCATGAGGCCAAAAGGTTGAGACTTTCTCTCCGCTGCGTGCGCTAGGGGAGGCAGCGCAGCGTGCGCTAGGGGAGACAGCACAGCGTGCGAACCTGACAAGGAGCAACAGGCACGAAGTCCCGGTATAGGGTACATCGACAAAGCATCAATCAGCATCAACACGTTCCTGCCTTCCTCCATTCCGTCTCCGAGTCGGTGGTCCGTTCGCCGAGCGCGACTTTCGATCCCATGAAGCGAACTCTTCTTCAGAACGTCATGCCGTCTGTTCCAATTCCGAACCAGAGTTGCATGTCAGGGATAAGTCAGGCTGGCCCGTCTGAGAAAGCAGGTTTGGTACCCTGCCTACTTTTAAGGCGCCACCTGCCCTACATGAGTCATCGGTCTCACGGGCCTTTTTGGAGTGCCCCCCCCCCCCCCGTGAAGCCCCTCGGGTTGAGTGAGCAGAATGAGGTAATGCATAGGAAACGACGTAGTCATGGCAGAAGATCAGGGGATTGTCCTAATAGACAATTCTAAGTATTTTTTCGACAGTCTAAGTATTTATTAGACAGTAAGTATTTTCACAATCGTTTGGAACTCTCCATCGAAAATCATTCCGTAACACTGCGTAAAAGCAGTAAATACCGTACCTAACGTTAGATTTTTTTCGAATAAATCGCCCCAACGTCTGCATCGATGCATGCGGCGTCATGGTCGCCTAGTCAAAGCTTGCTTCAAATTGCATATCCCTTTTCTCGTATCCTCTTCTATCGAAGGTACAAAAGATTGCAGTCTCGTTTCACACGAAATGTTGCCTTTACATTATTAATTTTCACAGTAGCATTAAAAATCACAGAACATGAGCTTGTCATGACCGACATCGCTCTGCAACAATAGGCTTCTGTACTACTCTTCTTCATTCAACAAGCTCATGTCTCCATCGCTATGGACCTTTGAGGATGTATGGCCGTCGCCGCCCAAGCGCGCGTTGCCTCGACGCCGCAACTACAATTTGCATTCTTTTCTGGCGCGCGCCGTGTTTCCGCGTGTCATGGAGTTCAAGGTCATCAGCCGCGAGAGTGAAAAGCACGAGTTCATGCCTGTTGTTTATCTTATTGATCGCTCGCCCGCTTGGGTACGTCGTGTACCTCCCGTCGTGGAACGTACGATTGTAGAGGACTACATCTCTCCTTTGGTGGCCGAGATACCGGACGCCGTCGATGCGACGGGCAAGATGCGTCTCTTGGCCAATGTACGCGAAGAAATGGAGCTGCGCGCCAACCTCATTAATGAGGAGCTGCTGGATGACGTCATCACTAATGAGACGGATTACAAGATGGGAGTACTTGTGGACTTTGCACCGACCCCAAAGAGTCCAGGCAAAGCGATGCTTAACCAAGTTGTGTTCCAAATTGCCACAGCGTTACGCTCCGCCTCGTGTAGCCGTGCACTTGTAGTACCCGTGACCATGCACTACTGTTCATCTGCTAGCTTCTTGGACGTGCGACGATATGCAGCTCTTCGCTATGGAGCTCCCGTGTTGCTAGAGGAGCGCGAGGTGGCGATCTTTGGTGAAGATCCGACCGAATTTACACAGCATTTTAGTGCCAGACTGCGTGCATCGTTGACGATGCCTCCACCTTCGTCGGTCGCCCAGATCGAAATGTTGCGGTTGACGCGGACACTGCACGTGTACTGCGCTAAGGTAGTACGAGACGATTGTTTCTCTCGAAGACAACGTGCCTCAATGAACGAGGAAATCATGCAGATTCACTTTCGTACATCGAATCATCCGGCGATGCAAGAACTGAAACGCAACATGATGGCGTATTGCGCAACACTGAAGCGTTGGAAGCTCCGTGATGAGGATATTAACTCTGCCAGTGTATTGCTGGCCGTGGAGAATTTGCCAAAGCACCCACTGCACTTTGTATGGCTTCTGGCTGCTGCATTGCGCTTTGCCTTCAAACTGCCCATTCAACTTTTTTTGGCGACCGCGTGCGACCTCATTTACCGTTTCTCCCCGCGTAAATCTGGCAACAGATTACTACCTTTGTGTGCAGCAGCAGTCAAAGCCGTCTTGGGCTGCCTTGCACTTGGTGTGCTCGTGCACGCTGTGCCTTCAAGCTTACTAGGGTGGTTGTTTGCGTCGCTATTGGTGGCAGTGCTGATCGTGGATGCAGCAACTGCGCACAATGCGGCAGCGGATGTGCAGCACCTGACCCAACATTGGAAGAGGCTCCAGTTTTATGTAATGGATGCCAATGAGTTGACTCGATTGAAGGAGACACGTGCTGTGCTGGCTCGCAGTATACACGACATTGTCGCACGGTATATGTGCACGGACCTCCCGCCTCCGGTTCTACAGGATATTTCTAAGTCTGCTGCTTCGCCAACTTCTGCTCTGCTGAATAACGACGAGTACACGCTAAACACGCACCACCAGATATTTATTAACTCACCGCGCTCATTCCCGCTGGCCTACGCCGCAAAAATGAAGGACCCCATGACTGCTCGCCGCACTGTATACGCACCGAAGATGCTGCGCGATGAGACTTGGCGCAATATCTACGAGACTCTAGCGCCTGCACACCTGCGTTTCCGTGTTCTGCTCGCTGACAACAAAAGGGACATTCTTCCTATGGACAAGCTTCTTGCTACGCCTTTCTTCGGCGCAGTGCTGTCCGCTTACATCCTATACAAGACTCGCTATGTAGACGGTGACAGCTCTACATCGAGCTCGAGTGGCGATGATGCTGCCGATTTCGTGACCGAAGAGGTACAGCAGGAACAGGCGCGTGTGCACAGCCAGAATGAAAAGGATGGCAACCGAGATGTTCTTGGAGGCTACGGTTCCATCCAGGAAATAATCAATGCAGCTCTACGGATGACTACAGGATGAAGAGAAACTGATTGAAATAATATGAATGTACTCCTGCTATTACTGATAACTTGCATGCGGACCAAATGTTCCTGTTAAAGTTGCAGATGGTATCGACCGTTAGGTCTGCTCGATCCAAGACGCGGACGAAATCGTCGACACCAGCCAGTTATCAATTAGGTCCCTAGTCCTGTGTCAAAATACACGTCCAATGACGTAGGAATGCGTTGTTGAAGATGCGCCTAAGTTGACAGGGATATGGCATATTCGGAATGCCAAAAATGTCAAGATAATTTCGTAGCTTAGCTTAAACATTGCATATGACGTGACGTATCAGGGCTCGGTCACCTAAAGTATGCTTTGCTCTTGGGTCATATCGGCGTTGCTCAGGACATTTTGGCCGTCGTATGGCGTTTAGCAGCTCGAGATCGCAATGCTGGTCCTTTTTGCTCCAGATTATCGAAGCTAGCACGCTGTAGTTCGGCTAGAGCATCATTTTGATTACCAAGCACATCAGCGAACCAGCTCCGCTTGTATACTGAATTATAAAAACGAGGCAAAGTCATGGTCGTCCAAAAGCCCAGCACTGTGTTCCAATTGAGGAAATTATAGTGGCCAAATGACAAAATCGCGCCATAGTTCCAACAAGACCTGATGAAGTCGACTTAATCATTCCTGGGCTAATCAGCACGTCTGCTCTACAGGCGCTGAACGGCACGGTCAATTGTCACCGTCTGAGAGTACGGGTTGTACCGAGCTTGGAAAGGCTTCTTTAGGTCTTCACAAAAACCACGCATCTTTTCCTTGGCGTCAAACTACATAAGGAATCTCATAAATGAACTTATCCCGTAATCCACAACAAAAACCTTCAGTTTATCCTTACCAAGCTGTCAGCCACGTAGTACACAGGCTGGTAGGTCGTTATAGGATACTTCTGCTTGCAAGCCGAAAATGGATCCCAAGAACGGTATTCCGGCACATCAGTCTCCGCAGGACTGTTGTTCGCACAGGCATACTCCATCTCGCCAAAACTAGAAAGCAGTCCAGCTCCATACGCCTGTATGAGAGCAATTCGATCGTTACGTGATTGAGACCAAACATGTAAGGTACAGCTCAGAGAGAATAAATTACGAACCTTGTACTTGCCATGCTGCTTCGTAAGTCCGAATTCAACAGAAAACCAGTAGCACTGCTCGCACGCATACATCGAGTTAACACTTTCAGCACGTGAAGGTAAGATAATTGCCGAATGCGCGTTGCGTACAGTGGCAAGACGTTCGATCTCTTCGTCTGATGCTCCGAGAGAGGCAAGACCAACTTCATGCGAGAAGTCTGCAAAGTCAGGGTCCTGTTGGCAAAAGGACGCATTAAATGTCGCTCACAAGATGATTCGCACTTTTCTATAATGGACATGAATACGTACAGCAAACATTGGTGCGTGGCCCATGAGCTCATGGCAAATATCGGGCTCCGGCGTGTACAACGGCATCGAATGGTGGCGAATGTACTACCACATACACAAAAGCAAACACATGGAACGATCCTGGATCACCATCTGTATCATGCTACAAACATTGCGCAGATGAGTGATTAAACTTACTTGAGTCGAGAAAAAGACTCGAAACGCAAGTCCATTCAGAAAGTCACGTGCCGACAGAAGCCCTCCCACAGGACGCAGAACGAAACCCGTACACTCCTTTAGGAAGTTTGAGATATCCTGCTGCTGCGGGATGTTGTCCTCAGCGTACCCACAATTGCTCTCGAGTAGCGGGACAATATAATTGAACTCATCACACGCGTGTTGCTTCCACATCTTCTTCATCCGTTTGTAAATGACTCCCCAAGTTTTCACCTAAAGTGATGCACATCACACGACAAAATTTTTCAGCCCACAACATTCTTCCTAACCCGTGACGACATCCTACCTCATCTTTGGTGTAGTCTATATGCGGAATGGCATCTCCCTGGCGGTGGTTATGGGCGATATCAGCAAATATGTTCCGGCGTCTACGGTACTCTTGGTCCTGCATAACCCAGTCCCAGTCAGTTTTTGACGATATAAACACGAGCTATCGCCCATTACGTCACCACGTACGCTGAAGCCCGGATGGTCCGATTCCAGATCCGTTCCGGCATCAAGGATGTTGGACACCGAGCGGTCAAGCTCTTTGATCTTGCGAGGGAACCACGGCACTATCCACACAACATCATCAGTCCGATATCCGACAAAAACCACTGCAGTCAGATCAATCCAGTCTACCCTTCTTGTCGTGAAGCACTATGACGTCCAAACAATTCTTCGAAAGGTCCGCCATGAGCTCGTCTACCATTGGTTGACCACGCTTGCCCTCAAAATCAATGTAAAAGCAATAGTTCATGTTATGGCCTTTAGCCGGACGTGACTCGATGCGCGTCATGTTCACATCATGCTTCCAGAAAAACTTGAGCGTTTCCTGTAGCGCGCCAGGACCGTCCTCTACCTGTAGCATGACCGACGTCTTATTGTCTTCGTTTGACGCTCCAAAAGACCGTGTCCAATGCTGCAGGTACGAGGATCCAAGTGACACGCGAACATTGGCACGACGACTCTGCAACATGTGGCAGAACGCAAGTAATAAAGTGAGTAGGATTAAGCATATCATTATCTAAGAATGAGTGACGTACGCCATTAAAAGAGAGGAAAGAGGAGCGAGGAGAGCAAACGACCGAGCGGAGCATCACGAGCAGTGAGACGGTGCAGCAAAATTGAAGAGTGACGTCGGCTATTAAGCGTCTGATTCTAACATGTCACATATTTAAATTTGGAAAACAAAGGATACGATTTTTAATGTAAAGATTTTGTTTTTAGTGTAAATCAAGGTTTTTTTTAGATGAAAATCTTTTTTTTCTCCCTAGGAACAAAAAAGGCAACGAAAGGACAACAATGAAGCTGACAATTAAGACACTACAGGGCGTGGCCTTTTCTCTAGATGCAGAGCTCACAGATGCGGTAAGTTCATGCCTTCTCTTCTAGTTATATACCTCTGATACTCTTCTACTAGCTGTCCTTGGTCTCTCTCTGGAATGAGAAGATTACAGATACTTATTGAAATATATTGCGTTATTTCCTCAGGTTTTGGCCGTCAAGCAGAAAATTGAGGAGATGCAGCAATTTCCAGTGACCCAGCAAAAGCTCATTCATGCAGGAAAAGTACTGAAAGATGACAGCACATTGGCTGAGTACAATGTCAAGGAGAACGACTTTTTGGTTGTAATGGTTACGAAACCCAAAGCAGCCAAGCCGCCATCAGCTGCTGCTGCTACTACTACTTCCTCAGCTTCTACAGCTCCAGCTTCTGCTACGACTGCTGCTGCTGCGGTGACTCCGATTTCTGCTCTTGCTCCCAATACATCGTCGGCATCCAGCAGCACTTCAGCTACTGCTCCGGCCGTGTCGACGCCATCGGCCGCTCCTGCTACAACTGCTGTAAACTCCTCGACGGGAGATGGTAGTAACGTGATGTCTGCCGAACAGATGGGCGCGACGGTACAACAGCTCGTGGATATGGGCTTCCCCGAAGACCAGGTGCGCAGTGCGCTGCGTGCGGCTTTCAACAACCCAGAACGTGCAGTGGAGTATCTGATGACTGGCATCCCTGATCAGGTTGCAGCTCCCTTGCAGACGGCTGCTACTTTGGCTGGTGCAGGCGCTGTAGCTGGCATTGGCGGTGGTGATGAGACCACAAACACGCTCGAAGCGCTCCGCAACCACCCGCAGTTCGATGCGCTGCGTCAACTGGTGCAGTCCAACCCGGCGGCGTTGCCAGCAGTGCTTCAGCAGATCGGTGCGCAGAGCCCAGAGCTTCTACGTCTGATCCACCAGAACCAGGACCGCTTTGTGCAAATGCTAAACGAACCTATTGGTACTCGTGAAACAGGATCAGCGTCGAGCAGCGCAGGTGCAGCGCCGTTCGACTTGGGCATGGGTGGTGGTGGTGGCATGCCAACCCCTCAACAAATTCAGCAGTTGGTAGACTCGCTCACACCAGAGCAGCAAACCCAAATGGCTGCACAAATGGGAATGAGCCCCGAACAGCTTCGTGGGCTTTCTCAGATGCTAAGCAATTTGCCACCTGGAGCAATGGAGCAGATGATGGCTTCGATGGGTGGTGGCGGTTTGGAAGGTCTCGGTGGAGGAGCTGGAGCTGGTACCGGCGCAGGTGCAGGTGGTCACCGCATCATGCTATCTGAGGAGGAAGCGGCAGCCGTTGACCGATTGTGTGAGATGGGATTTGAACGCACAGATGTGATTCAAGCATACTTGGCATGCGACAAGAACGAGGCGTTGGCGGCCAATTTCCTTATGGATAGCGGAGACAGCTTTGGCGGCGGTGCTACCGGTGGTGCAGGAGGCCATGGCGACGACAACGATGACATTTACGGCTAAATAACATAAACGTTAGTGATTGGCGTGTACCCTGAGGCTGGTTGGCAAGGTGCGCGGCACTCTGGCTCAAGTGCTTTGAAGAAGCTCGTACACCAAGCTTGTTTTTGTGGCGATCAGGATGGCTGGCTTACATTGCTGACAGAAATACCGATGGGTTTTGGGCGATGACGTGTTGGACTTTTTAGTTTATTTTACGTGGCGACCAGTTTAGCTAGGAACATCTCATGCGACTTAACGTATCATAGCGCAATAGTCAGGAGCGAGAAAAAAGCAAATTGTCTGGGTACCTGCTTCGCCACCATCAATTGGCAGGCCTTAGCTCCTAAACTTGTTGATACCGAAGAGTGAAGGCAGCTCCTGACCTTTCGTGGTGTGTATACTGCATTCTTTATAATCGTAAACTACTAGCCGAAAGCATTATCGAAGAAGCCAAGACGCATGCTGCAAACAAGTGCGAGTTGCTGCAAAAACTGCAAAGACCTGAGTACCGGTCGATTTATTAGGCCGATCATGTTGTAAATATGGTCTTACATCCAAGACTTTTGCATTACGTAAACATAGCAATCGACAGGCGGTGGCATTAAAGAAGTGCTTTGATGCCCTCACGAAAAACCAGCGCTTCTATCGTGACGTCATGTATTCCAAGTGCTAAAAATGGACATATATCAATGTCATTCGGTCGTTGCTAAAGTGGTTAAGGCTGCCAAATTTCGTAACTATTTATACTTAAGGATCATAAATGAAAAGATATAGGTCTGACGGACCCAAGTAGCGGCGGCTACCGCATGGCACAGCGTCAGCTCGCAAAACTTATATTTAGTTTCCATATTTCTATACTAAAAGTCCTGGTCGGGTTAAGGTAACGACCTCATGGAAGGCTTGCGCTAGCATGATGTTAACTCAAGCCTTTAACGGATACTTCCGCGGCGCCCGTCAGCTTTTGACGGGCCTCTCCCTCGACACACATCTCTCTTGCCGCTCTCACCCCAGCTGCCAGTCAAGCCGCTACGATGTACGCTGCCATAGAAACGTTGCCTCTCATTGTGGCCAATGAAAACGCAGTCCACAGTATTTCATAGCTGAGAACAGCCTTGTCGTACAGCAACGTGAATTTGACAAAGGTTGGCATCAAAAATAGTTGTTGTCGCCGGCCGTTGAGCAAGTAGTCAGTAGTTGGTGCAACGGTCTGGCTGAAACAGCACAGGCGAGTGCACCGCGTGCGCTTCGCATGAAAGAAGAAATGCTGGTGTAGGCGATAATCCAAAGAAGGAGTTGGCCAATGTGGGATTCGAACCCACGCCCTTTCGGACCAGTGCCTTAAACTGGCGCCTTAGACCGCTCGGCCAATTGACCACTGTATACATACCACAACCCTAGCCTCCACACGAACAACACCACGAACCACACAGATCCACAAACACCATCTCGACAAATACAACACACCAACTGTCTACACACACCGCTATCCATCGTCCACAAGTCACTTCGTCATCATTTTGTCAGCTTGCGTTGCTGTCAGCATGAACTGGCGTGACTAGTGTAGGCGGCTATAGCAGATCTCAGCGCTGGGTGTAGTAGACGGTTTACTTTGTACCGAAGGCACTACGCAATAACTCGTGAAGTCTTGTGTTCGACTTAAACGCACAAGATCGATCTTTAAACGGGGCGAGCCATATAGACCTCCATTTGTCATGTCCTCCGATCGGTCTGTGGATGCGTCCAGTCACGTTGCTAGTCAGGGTAGCAATTGGACAGACATGCTGCCTCTCGTTGTGGCCATTTCAGACGCAGTCTACAGTATTTCATAGCTGAGAACAGCCTTGTCGTACAGCAACGTGAATTTGACAAAGGTTGGCATCAAAAATAGTTGTTGTCGCCGGCCGTTGAGCAAGTAGTCAGTAGTTGGTGCAACGGTCTGGCTGAAACAGCACAGGCGAGTGCACCGCGTGCGCTTCGCATGAAAGAAGAAATGCTGGTGTAGGCGATAATCCAAAGAAGGAGTTGGCCAATGTGGGATTCGAACCCACGCCCTTTCGGACCAGTGCCTTAAACTGGCGCCTTAGACCGCTCGGCCAATTGACCACTGTATACATACCACAACCCTAGCCTCCACACGAACAACACCACGAACCACACAGATCCACAAACACCATCTCGACAAATACAACACACCAACTGTCTACACACACCGCTATCCATCGTCCACAAGTCACTTCGTCATCATTTTGTCAGCTTGCGTTGCTGTCAGCATGAACTGGCGTGACTAGTGTAGGTGGATATAGCAGATCTCAGCGCTGGGTGTAGTAGACGGTTTACTTTGTACCGAAGGCACTACGCAATAACTCGTGAAGTCTTGTGTTCGACTTAAACGCACAAGATCGATCTTTAAACGGGGCGAGCCATATAGACCTCCATTTGTCATGTCCTCCGATCGGTCTGTGGATGCGTCCAGTCACGTTGCTAGTCAGGGTAGCAATTGGACAGACATGCTGCCTCTCGTTGTGGCCATTTCAGACACAGTCTACAGTATTTCATAGCTGAGAACAGCCTTGTCGTACAGCAACGTGAATTTGACAAAGGTTGGCATCAAAAATAGTTGTTGTCGCCGGCCGTTGAGCAAGTAGTCAGTAGTTGGTGCAACGGTCTGGCTGAAACAGCACAGGCGAGTGCACCGCGTGCGCTTCGCATGAAAGAAGAAATGCTGGTGTAGGCGATAATCCAAAGAAGGAGTTGGCCAATGTGGGATTCGAACCCACGCCCTTTCGGACCAGTGCCTTAAACTGGCGCCTTAGACCGCTCGGCCAATTGACCACTGTATACATACCACAACCCTAGCCTCCACACGAACAACACCACGAGCCACACAGATCCACAAACACCATCTCGACAAATACAACACACCAACTGTCTACACACACCGCTATCCATCGTCCACAAGTCACTTCGTCATCATTTTGTCAGCTTGCGTTGCTGTCAGCATGAACTGGCGTGACTAGTGTAGGTGGATATAGCAGATCTCAGCGCTGGGTGTAGTAGACGGTTTACTTTGTACCGAGGGCACTACGCAATAACTCGTGAAGTCTTGTGTTCGACTTAAACGCACAAGATCGATCGCTTAAACGGGGCGAGCCATATAGACCTCCATTTGTCATGTCCTCCGATCGGTCTGTGGATGCGTCCAGTCACGTTGCTAGTCAGGGTAGCAATTGGACAGACATGCTGCCTCTCGTTGTGGCCATTTCAGACACAGTCTACAGTATTTCATAGCTGAGAACAGCCTTGTCGTACAGCAACGTGAATTTGACAAAGGTTGGCATCAAAAATAGTTGTTGTCGCCGGCCGTTGAGCAAGTAGTCAGTAGTTGGTGCAACGGTCTGGCTGAAACAGCACAGGCGAGTGCACCGCGTGCGCTTCGCATGAAAGAAGAAATGCTGGTGTAGGCGATAATCCAAAGAAGGAGTTGGCCAATGTGGGATTCGAACCCACGCCCTTTCGGACCAGTGCCTTAAACTGGCGCCTTAGACCGCTCGGCCAATTGACCACTGTATACATACCACAACCCTAGCCTCCACACGAACAACACCACGAACCACACAGATCCACAAACACCATCTCGACAAATACAACACACCAACTGTCTACACACACCGCTATCCATCGTCCACAAGTCACTTCGTCATCATTTTGTCAGCTTGCGTTGCTGTCAGCATGAACTGGCGTGACTAGTGTAGGTGGATATAGCAGATCTCAGCGCTGGGTGTAGTAGACGGTTTACTTTGTACCGAGGGCACTACGCAATAACTCGTGAAGTCTTGTGCTCGACTTAAACGCACAAGATCGATCTTTAAACGGGGCGAGCCATATAGACCTCCATTTGTCATGTCCTCCGATCGGTCTGTGGATGCGTCCAGTCACGTTGCTAGTCAGGGTAGCAATTGGACAGACATGCTGCCTCTCGTTGTGGCCATTTCAGACGCAGTCCACAGTATTTCATAGCTGAGAACAGCCTTGTCGTACAGCAACGTGAATTTGACAAAGGTTGGCATCAAAAATAGTTGTTGTCGCCGGCCGTTGAGCAAGTAGTCAGTAGTTGGTGCAACGGTCTGGCTGAAACAGCACAGGCGAGTGCACCGCGTGCGCTTCGCATGAAAGAAGAAATGCTGGTGTAGGCGATAATCCAAAGAAGGAGTTGGCCAATGTGGGATTCGAACCCACGCCCTTTCGGACCAGTGCCTTAAACTGGCGCCTTAGACCGCTCGGCCAATTGACCACTGTATACATACCACAACCCTAGCCTCCACACGAACAACACCACGAACCACACAGATCCACAAACACCATCTCGACAAATACAACACACCAACTGTCTACACACACCGCTATCCATCGTCCACAAGTCACTTCGTCATCATTTTGTCAGCTTGCGTTGCTGTCAGCATGAACTGGCGTGACTAGTGTAGGTGGATATAGCAGATCTCAGCGCTGGGTGTAGTAGACGGTTTACTTTGTACCGAGGGCACTACGCAATAACTCGTGAAGTCTTGTGCTCGACTTAAACGCACAAGATCGATCTTTAAACGGGGCGAGCCATATAGACCTCCATTTGTCATGTCCTCCGATCGGTCTGTGGATGCGTCCAGTCACGTTGCTAGTCAGGGTAGCAATTGGACAGACATGCTGCCTCTCGTTGTGGCCATTTCAGACGCAGTCCACAGTATTTCATAGCTGAGAACAGCCTTGTCGTACAGCAACGTGAATTTGACAAAGGTTGACATCAAAAATAGTTGTTGTCGCCGGCCGTTGAGCAAGTAGTCAGTAGTTGGTGCAACGGTCTGGCTGAAACAGCACAGGCGAGTGCACCGCGTGCGCTTCGCATGAAAGAAGAAATGCTGGTGTAGGCGATAATCCAAAGAAGGAGTTGGCCAATGTGGGATTCGAACCCACGCCCTTTCGGACCAGTGCCTTAAACTGGCGCCTTAGACCGCTCGGCCAATTGACCA